CTGGATCCCACGGGATCCCTGCCCCATGATCCCCAGGCTGTGCAGAGCTCCTGGATCCCACGGGATCCCTGCCCCATGATCCCCAGGCTGTGCAGGGCTCCTGGATCCCACAGGCCCCCCGAGCCCCAGGTTGGAGCCCCCCAGCCCCCCTTACCCGGCGCTGATGGCCGTGGTCATCTCCATGGCCGTGGTGACCTTGGCCTTCACCGTCATGACGTTGAGGTTCATCAGGTAGTGGAAGGTGAGGTGCAGCACGTTCTCATCTGGGCCAGAGCAGGGAGAGCATTGGTGGGACACACCCCCCCCTCTGCTGGGACAACCAGGGCAGAGGGGCAGTGTGGGAGCAACTGGACCCACTGGAACCCCGGCACGATCCCATCAGCGCTTCCCAGGAGGTGTCTGCCAGGCCCAAGTCCCCACGAGAAGAGGGAAGCTCCCAACTGGATGGAGGAGCTCCAGGGCAAGGTCACCCCCCGAGCTCGGGAAGGCAGAGCTGATGGACCACCATGGAAGGCTCAGGAAAACCCCTCCACACCCCCAGCTCTCCCTGAGGACCCCAGGGTGGTGCTGGGCTGTCCCTGAGCCCTCACCTTTGCACTTGAGGTCGATGGTGACAGACAAGGGGTGTCTCTTGAGCATCTCCTTGCGCTTGTCGTCCAGCTGCACCCCCAGGGTGGGCCTGCGCCGCTTCTGGGGGAGGAACAGCTCTCAGAGCCTTCTCCTGCTCCTCCCCAGCCCAGGGACCCCCCCTTCCCACCCCGCTGCTCTTTCCTTCTCCTTCAGTCCCCCAAAATCCCGGTGCCACAGCCCCAGAGCTGCCCCGGGGAGGGAGGGCAGCAGGAAACCCTCGCCCAGCTCTGGTTCCTGTCGTTCCTTCAGCTCCCAGGAGCATCCCCACCCCTGGGACACAGAGCCAAGGGCCTGCTGGCCCCAAGAGCTTCCCCACTGCAAGGGGCAGGTCCCAGAATCACAGAACTGTTCAGGTTGGGAAAGATCCTTCGGATCATCGAGTCGAACCCTTCCCCAGCACTGCCAAGGCCACCACTCACCCCAAGTGCCACATCCACAGGGATTTTAAATCCCTCCAGGGATGGGGACTCCACCCCTGCCCTGGGCAGCTGTGCCAGGGCTGGACAGCCCTTTCCAGGAAGGAATTTTCCCAATACCCAACCTGACCCTCCCCTGGCACAGCTGGAGGCCGTTCCCTCTCCTCCTGTCCCTTGTTCCCTGGGAGCAGAGCCCGACCCCCCCCCCAGCTCCTCCCTCCTGTCAGGGGGTTGCAGAGCCAGAAGGTCCCCCCTGAGCCTCCTTTTCTCCAGGCTGAGCCCCCCCAGCTCCCTCAGCTGCTCCTGCTGCTCCAGCCCCTTCCCAGCTCCGTTCCCTTCCCTGCACACAAGGCCCTTCCCTTTTCTCTTCCCCCCAGGAACAGCCCAATACACCCAGTGCTCTGCCACGTGGTGGGAGTGGAGGCCCAGACCCCCCTCAGGCTTTGATGTTGGGTTTCAACCAGCACCTCCAGCCTCTCCCCAGCATCCAGCAGGAATTATCTGCAGGATGAGCACTTCCTTGAGGGAGTGCTGAACAACTCCTGGTGCAGAGAATGCTTTTGGCAGGGGATGGACACAGATCCCTCCCTGTTGGACACCAGCTCCCTGCCCTCAGGCTATTTATACAAAGTGGAGCAGCTCCATCTGGGATGTGAGTGTGGTGGGACACACTGGAGCAGCTTTGCATCCCGGCTCTCCTGCATTTAGGACAGAAACTGGGAAATGGCACCTCCCTCCTGCCGAGAAACGTCCGGATTTAACACCAGTGCCCCTCCACACATGCTCACAGCGTGCAGCACCAGCTCCCAGCCCCACCCAGGCCCAGCTCTCCCAGCAGGTCCCAGGATCCCGAGGCAGCAGGGCCCAGAGCTGTCCCTCACCGTGGTCTGCTCCTCCTCCGCGTCCGAGTCGCTCTCGTCGTCTGCACAGAGAGAGGGGGGTCAGCAGGGACCACACAGGGCTCAGTTCTCCCCCCACCAGCCCCTTCTCCAAGGGATGCCCCCCCAGACATCCCTCTCCCAGCAAAAGCAGGGGCTCAGGACCTGCAGACACGCAGGAACACATCCCCCAGTCAACCCCCAAACTCACCCTGCGAGTCCTCGGGGGGCTTGTACAGGGCCTTGGCCTCCTCCACACTCCCTTCGATGGCCACCACCAGCTTCTTGTCTGCAAGGGACACAGGAGGACTGGGCTAGGGATCACCCTTCTGCTGGGAAAGGCACCTGGCAGGGCAGCCCTGCCCCCAAAACTCCTGCTTCCTGGCAGGGAAATCTCCAAGAAAGGGTCAGGGAGAAGAGCAGTTGTCTGGAAGGTTCTGTGGGGCCACCACAGGGCTGGATGTCCTGGGCAGGATGGGGGCAGAGGAAGGAAAATGCTGGGTGTTGAGGAGCTCTCCCTGGAAACCATGGAGGCCAAATCCTTATCAGGAGCCAGGAGGGACTGGGGTCTGGCTGGCACAAGCAGGGATGAGGAGCAGTGTCACCACGGCTGTGGATGCCTCTGCCACAGTGCCCTTCCATGTTCCCCTGCTCCCAGAGCGGCATCAGAGCAGGTGACACCACATCCCTCTCCATCCACACAGCCCACTGGGATTCCTGACCCCTTCCAGTGAATCCTTCCCAGCTCAGGAAGCTCCAGAAAGCCCCTCAACACACGAAGCTTCCCGAGGGGATGAAAGCTTCCAGATGATCTGTGGGAAAGGCCAGGGAAAGGCACCCCTTGTCCTGGAGTCCCCACCAACCACGGGTGGCACAAGGTGTCACCCCACGGGGTGACCAGCTCTGGGGAGGCTGGGACAGCACTGAGCCAGCTCCCAGGCTGCAGGGACATCCCTGCCGACCTTGGGAAGGGGGGAAGGGGTGGGAAGTGAGCTTCCCAAGCAGTTCTCCCAGGCAGGCAGCTGAGCCAACATGGTTTCAAATGCTGCTGCCTCACTGCTCTGGCCATGGGGCCACCTGGGCTCAGCACAATCCCACAGCACATGGGCTGCAAAGACTCCCCCAGAGCGGTGATTCCTGCAAGCAGGAGTGAAATCTGGCCCGTGGGGTGATCCCAAACCCCTGTCCAAGGGCCGTGTCCCCCCTCTGTGCTCACCACAGGCCTGTCCGTAGGCGCTGGCTTGGACAAAGAGGACGTAGAGGGGCGGCGGGAGGTGCCGGGCGGTCTCGTATTGCTTGTGGGCCTGGTCGAAGGGCATGAACAGGTATTCCTGGACAGGCAGGGAGGCCTGGGAATGACAGGGACGGCCTTCAGCACTGGGAAGGGAGCAGCTCATCCTCCTCACCCCCTCCCGAGCCAGTGGGAGATGGAGCCAGCACTGGGTTAAACACCACGGGCACGGCGAGCCCCAGGGAAGGGCTGGCCTGGCCTCGGCTGGGAAAGCTTTGGAGCTGAAAATAACCCAGTTCCTCCTCCTGTTCTTCCCTCCCAGGGCAGCCTCAGGGGGCTGGAACAGCATGGGACTCTCCAGGGGAAGGCCCATTTAGCGGCTCCTCTGGAATTGCCGCATAAACAAGGAGGCTCCGGAGGGGTCTCGGCACGAGGTGGAGCTGCCCCTCCCCCAGTGGGAATGAAACACCCCCAGATCCAAATCCAAAGCAGCCCAGGCACTGTCCTTGGGAGCACGACCTCAGCTCAGCCCCCAGAACCTTGTCCCCACCTGCAGAGCTCAGGTACCTGCATGATGCTGTTGAGCCGGGGCTGGAGGCTGCTCAGATATTCCTTCTTCACCTCAATCTCCTTCAGGATCTTCTCCTTGCTGGTCAGGCATTCCTTGTATTTCTCTGCCAGCCTGGGGGTGGGAATTCTGTTACTGCCACACGCCAGAGCTGCAAAACCTGCCAGGAGCCACCTGGGTGACAGGCCCCAGCTCTCACAGGTCACTGCAGGAGAGCTCAGACACGGGACAAACAACTCGCTCCTAATGCCAAGGGTAAGTGAAGGAAGGAAGGAACTGAGCAGAGGTGGAAAACGAACAAGGAAACAGAGGGGAAGCTCAGCCTCGTGCTCTGAGAAGGGGCAGCAAGTGGAGCTCTGCTCCCACACCAGCCACGACCCCACCGAGCTCCCAGAGAGGCTTTTCCCCTTCCTGGCATGTCCTGTGGTCAAGGACTAACATAGAAAGCCCAGGAAAATCGAAGCTCACCACGATGCTCCAAGCCCTGTGTTTAGGGAGAACACATTAAATCTCATTGCTGTTGACTGCAAGCCCTCTCCCAGCAGGAGCAGGGAAGCTGGGAATGGGAGTGAGCTGTTCAGGACAAGCCCCCTCTGACAGGGGACAGACCTGACACTGCAGGACTTGTGGGGGTCAACACACACCCCAACAGGCTCCTGCACAGGATTTGAGGCCCAGTTTTCCCACCCCTCCCCAAAACAGAGTTCCTGAAATCCCTGCACTCCCTCCAGAGGCACCTTGCAGAGGATTCCAAAGCCAATCCAGCGCTCCATGGGGCTGCACAGCTCAAAGCACCAAGGTAAGGGTGCTTTGATGTGAATGACCCCAACATGGGAATTACCCAAAGCACCACTGGCACCTGCTCCCAAGCAGCTGGACAGAGCAGCTGGACAGCCCACATCCCACCCACCAAGCAGTGGGAGGTGCACAATGGCATTCCCTGGATACCACAGGGTGAGGACTGGGAATTCCAAGGCATCTCAGCAATTTAACTGTGGGTCTCCACGAGGTTTGCAAGGATCATTTTAATCAGAACCCTCATAGGTCTCCAGCTGAACACTCACTGTGTGTGGCTCAGGCAGAGCCAGCTGGGGGATCCCAGCTGTGCCCTCCAGTGGGAAAAGCAGCCAGGTTTGAGGGAAGGGTCTGGGAGAGGGGAAGCAAGAGGGGCTGGAGTCACCCAGCACCCACCCAGCACCTCTGACTGCTCTGCTCTGCCGGGCTGCCCTCAGGCAGCACCGACCGGCACATTCCATGAAGGATCTTTCCAGAAGGCTGGCCCTGACTGCTCTCCAAACACAGGAATGCTGGGTCATGTTTGTTTTTCCCACGGGGCAAGAGTCAGGGAGCAGCTGAGCCCCAGGACAGTGGGGATGTTTGGCAGCAGCTCCAGCCGTGCCGAGCCAGGCTGGGCTCCTTCAGCTCCTTGCAGATGGAACAGGGATCATCAGGACATGAAAGAAAACTCCCTGACCTGTGGAACAAGGATCACACCAAGCCCAGCTCCACACACAGGGAATCTCCCAGTCACACAATAAATTGTCACTTGTTCCACACTGACTGAGCCAAGAGGATCAGGTGAAGGTGAAAACCTTCACCCTCGTTTGCTCTCCCAGCAGCTCCGGGTGCCTGCCCAGATCCCTGGAATAGTATTGGACACCCAGCAGCTCCAGGTTCCTGCCCAGATCCCTGGAATAGTATTGGACACCCAGCAGCTCCAGGTGCCTGCCCAGATCCCTGGAGCAGGGACACTGAGCAGCTCCAGGCTGTGCCAAGCCAGGCTGGGCTCCTTGTGCTCCTTGTAGACAGAACAGGGATCATCAGGCAGTGAAAGAAAACTCCCTGACCTATGGAAAAAGGATCCCACCAAGCCCAGCTCCACACACAGGGAATCCTGAACCAAGGGCTCAGCCAAGCAATAGATGTGTCACTTGTTCCACACTGATCCAAGGGGGATGAACTTTCATCCTCCGTGTTTGCTCTCTCAGCACCTCTGGGTGTCTGCCCAGATCCCTGAATAGGCACATCCAGAAGTTCTGGGTGCCTGGCCAGATCCCTGGAGGAGGGACAGGGAGCAGGGACATCCAGCAGCTCTGGATGCCTGTCCAGAGTCCTGGAATAGGGACACCCATCAGCTCCAGATGTCTGTCCAGAGCCTGGAGCAGGGATAGGGAGCAGGGACAGCCAGCAGTTCCAGGTGCCTGCCCAGATCCCTGAAGCAGGGACATGGACAGGGAGCAGGGACATGGACAGGGGCATGGAACAGGGACAGGGAACAGGGACAAGGAGCAGAGACATGGACAGGGACAGGGAGCAGGGACAGGGAACAGGGACAAGGAGCAGAGACATGGACAGGGATAGGGAGCAGGGACAGGGAGCAGGGACAGGGAACAGGGACAAGGAGCAGAGACATGGACAGGGATAGGGAGCAGGGACAGGGAGCAGGGACAGGGAACAGGGACAAGGAGCAGAGACATGGACAGGGATAGGGAGCAGGGACAGGGAACAGGGACAAGGAGCAGAGACATGGACAGGGATAGGGAGCAGGGACAGGGAGCAGGGACAGGGAACAGGGACAAGGAGCAGAGACATGGACAAGGAGCAGGGACAGGGACAGGGAGCAGGGACAGGGACATGGACAGGGACAGGGACATGGACAGGGACATGGACAGGGACATGGATACCGCTGACCCACCTCTTGCGCTGCTCCAGCTCCCAGTCGAGCCGGGCCAGTGTCTGCTGGTGGGGCTCTGCCAGGGTGATGGCAGGGCGGCTGATCTCAGGGGGGGCCTCTCTGTAGAACTCCTCCAGGCTCACCAGCTCGATCTCCTCGTGTTTGGACCTGCAGGGACAGGTGGATCAGGTCAGGGAAGGGTGGGAAGTGCTGCAGCACAGCCGGACTCAAGGTATCCCACAGGAGAGTGTTCCACTGGTGCTTCCTGCCCCAAATTCCCTCTCTGTGGGAACCACCCCCATCAGTGAGCTGAACCTGCTTTCTCCTCCACTGTCTCTGCCTAAAGGGGCTCCAGGAGAGCTGGAGACGGACTGGGGACAAGGGATGGAGAGACAGGACACAGGGAATGGCTTCCCACTGCCAGAAGGATATTGGGAACGAATTCCTGGCTGTGAGGGTGGTGAGACCCTGGCACAGGTTGCCCAGAGAAGCTGTGGCTGCCCCTGGATCCCTGGGAGTGTCCAAAGCCAGGCTGGACGGGGCTTGGAGCAACCTGGGCTAGTGGGAGGTGTCCCTGCCCATGGCAGGGGGTGGGACTGGATGGGCTTTGAGGTCCCTTTCCCACCCAAACCATTGCAGGATTCCATGACACCTGGAACACCCGTCCTCCTCCCGCAGGGGGCTCAGGCAACGTGGCAACAGCTCCCAAACGCTGGAAGCCTCCACCCCATCCCAGACACTGCTGCTCCCTCTGCTCCCTGGCCAAACTCACTTGAACTCCAGGCACTTGGTGATCTCCTTCTGCAGGTGCATCACCTCGTACAGCAGGTTCTGGAGCTGCAGGTGATACGCGTCCACCTTCTGCTTGGCCTGGAACACGGACACGGCCGGAGCAGGGATGGAGCTGTGCCTTCCAGGAGTCACCAACACCCTCCCCCTCACCATACCCCCTTGGCACAGCTGCTTTTAGGCTAGGCAACGATCTTTTTGGGGGAAGAATGATGTTTTTATGGACCGGGGAAGCAAAGATTGTGACATGGGACTGATTTTTCTCCTTCCAGCAGGTTTCAAAGCCAAGGAACAGGACAGGCATATGGACTGAGTCCCCTCTCCAAGAGCTCCAGAGCTTCCAGGGCAATCATACACCCCTTTATGCACCAGATGGGCCTTTCTGACCCCCCCTTATGTTCAAACCAGAGGCAGACCCCCCTCCTTCATGAACCATTACAATTACAGCTCCCCTGCGCCCAGCAGGAGTTTTCCAGGGTCGGATCTCTGGATAAACCACCAACCCAATCCCCGGGACCTGGGTGGTGTGTAACTCCTCACAGAGCAGAGAGAGCCCCACCTCCCCCCTAAATCCCAGCCTGGATGCCCCCTTTACCTCGTGGGTCTGGTCCCTGCCTTTCTTGAGGCGGATGTGGGCCAGGCGGTTCAGCTTCTTCAGGGTCATGAAGTGGACGCAGCTCTGGACGCGCCGCTCGTCGATCTCCGAGGCCTGGGGGGTGGGAAGGGGGGCTGGGATCAGCAGGGATGGCTGGAACCAGGGAGACTCAGGGAATTCCAGAGGGTCCCGGCACAAAACGGGCTCCACACTTTGCCGAGGAGTCACGTTTGTGTCACTGGGGCTCCCCAGGGAGGCTCCTGCTGTTGGATCACAGGGACCCGCTGGAAAGAACTGGGAGGGGGGCCCAGGCTCCTCAGAAATCACTCCAGGGATTTTTCCCAGTGGTAGGAACAGGGGTAGTTGAGCCTCAAGCACTCAGGTGTCCCAGGAGCCTGGGATAAGGGAGGCTGTTCCATTCCCAGGGCTCAATCCCTGTCCCAGGAGCCCAAAACAAGGGAGGTTGTTCCCACTTCCCTGCCCCAGCAGCCTGGGACAAGGGAGGCTGTTTCCATTTACAGGAGTTCAATCCTGACATGGCAGCCCGGGACATGGGAAGCTCTTCCATCTTCGGGGTTCAATCCCCGCTCCAGGAGTCAGGGACAAGAGAGGTTGTTCCTTTTCCAGGGCTCAATCCCTGCCCTAGGAGGCCATTTCCAGAGGCTCAATCCCTGTCCCAGCAGACTGGAACAAGGGAGGCTGTTCCCACTTCCCTGATCCAGCAGCCTGGGACAAGAGAAGCTCTTTCCATCTCCAGGGCTCCATCCCTGTCCCAGGAGCCCAAGACAAGGGAGGCTGTTCCAACTCCAGAGGCTCCATCCCTGTCCCAGCAGCCCAAGAGAAGGGAGGCTGTTCCATTTCCAAGGCTCAATCCCTGTCCCAGGAATCTTGGACAAGGGAAACTGTTGCATTTCCAGGACTCAATCCCTGCCCCAGGAACATGGGAAGCTGCTGCCTTTCCCTGACTCTCCCCAGGAGACATCACAGCTCCTGCTCCCATTCCTCTGGGATTAATGGGAAAACACCAAAGGACAGACCCACTCCACCACCTGCCAAGGCCTCTCCTTACGTTTTCCTTGATCCCCCGGCTCTTCAGCTCCTGGATCTCTGCCATGAGCCTCTGGAGCTCCTGGCAGGTCTCCCTGTAGAGTTCGTAGTCCTTGATGGGGTCCCGCAGATCCACCTCGCTCTCCTCACTGTAGTACCTGACATCCTGCAGGAACAAACACCACAGTCCATGGCTCATTCCTCCCACTGGGAAGGGCTCTGGGAGACACAGCCCCTGGATCTGCCTGTGAATCCCATGGCTTTACACATGGAGAGGACTCAGGAATTCACAGTGGGAGTTTCAGAGGCTCTGGGGAACAGTCTCACAAATCCAAAATGGTTTCGTTGGGAGGGACCTTAAAGATCATCACATTCCATGGGCAGGGACACCTTCCACCAGCCCAGGTTGCTCCAACCTGGCCTGGGACACTTGCAGGGATCCAGGGGCAGCCACAGCTTCTCTGGGCAACCTGTGCCAGGGCCTCCCCACCCTCCAGGGAAGGATTCCTTCCCAGTATCCCATCTAATCCTGCCCTCTGGCACTGGGAAGCCATTCCCTGTGTCCTGTCCCTCCATCCCATGTCCCAAGTCTCTCTCCAGCTCTCCTGGAGCCCCTTTAGGGCCTGGAAGGAGCTCCAGGGTGTCCATGGAGCCGTCTCTTCTCCAGGTGTTCTCATGGATCTGGTGTGGGAATAGATCTTAAAGCTCACTCCATCCCACCCCCTACCATGGGCAGGGACACCTTCCACTAGCCCGGGTTGCTCCAAGCCCTGTCCAACCTGGCCTTGGACACTTCCAGGGATCCAGGGGCAGCCACAGCTGCTCTGGAAAACCCATTTTCCCTCAGGGAAACAGGAGGCCAGCCTGGAGCAGGAGTGGGAAGATCCCTGATCCCTGTGCAGGCAGGTCCCTGTTCCCTGTGCATTCCATACCTGGTCGGTGTCTCCCTTGCCCCGTTTCCCCTCCGGTGGCACATCCGAGCGGATCACCTTGGGCTTCCTCTTCTTGCTGGACTCCGAGGACATGGTGGGGGCAGCAGGGCTGGGGAGGGGCACGGGGGGGGTCCATGGGGGCACAAACCACCTGGGATCAGGGCTGTCCCAGAATCCCTCCCCCAGCCTGTCCCGGGCTCTGCAGGATCCCGGGGCAGCCCCTGTGCCTCCCACCCCCTCCCAGGATTTCTCCCACCAGCTTCTCCCAGCCCCAGAAGCACAGAGGGTCTGGGGTCTCTGCTCCACCACAGCCCCCCCCCCCAGACCAGGACCCTCCACCCCCACTGATCCCCCCAGACCCCAACAACCAGACACAGGGTCTCCAGAGCCTCCCCCCAGACCCTCAGCGCTGTGGGACTGGGGGTCTCTGCTCCTCTGAGCCCTCCAGACCCCCAGCACACCAGGCCCTGAGGCTCAACCCCTTTGGAGCCCCCAGACCCAGCACAAAGGGCCCAGGGGCTGCGCTTCACCTAAGCACCCAGACTGCCGACCCTCCCCTTCTCTAGAGCCCCCCCCAGGCCCCCAGGCAAGGAACCCACCCCTCATCCAGAGCCCCCCAGACCACAGTGCACCAAACCCAAGGGCTCCTGCTTCACCACAGCCCCCCCAGACCCGGGACTCTCCCCTACTCCAAGCCCCCTCACACCCGAGCCCCTCACTCCTCCAGAGCCCCCAGAGCACACCGGATCCGGGGTCTCTGTTCCTCCAACCCAGTCCACACCCCCGGATCAGGACCCTCCACCCCTCTGGAGCCCCGCAGGCCCCAGAACAGCGATCCCGGGGTTCCCCTACCCCGAAACCCAGCACGGCGGGCCCGGAACCTCCGCCCCTCCCCAAACGCCTCCACCCGGAACCCTTCCCTTCTACTGAGCCTCCTCCAGACCTGCAGAACCCCAGACCTGGGACCCTCCGCTCCCGCGGAGCCCCCCCAGACCCTCAGCACACCGGACTCGGCACCCTCCACTCCTGAGCCTCCCCAGACCTCCAAACCGGGACTCTCCGCTCCCCCTGAGCCCCCCCAGACCCTCAGCACACCGGACCCGCGACCCTTCACTCCCCCTGACCCTCCAGAGCCCAGCACATCAATCCCGAGACCCTGGGCCCCTCCGGAGCTGCCCAGAAACCCAGCATGGGCCTCCCCTCCCCCTGAGCCCCCCCAGAACACCGATTCCGGACCCTCCGCCCCTCCGAGCCCCCCCCGACCACCAACCCCGGGACCCTCCGCTCCCCGGAGCCCTCCTCACACCCCTGCACACCGATCCCGGTTCTCTGTCCCTCCCGAAGCTCCCCATCCCGGGGGTCCCGGTGCCCCCCCGGGGGTCCCGCTCGCCCCCCGCTCTCACCGCGCTCCTGGCGCACCACAGCCTCCCGGAAGTGACGTCACAAAACAAGAGAGCGCGGCGCGGCAGTGGCGCGCGCGGCCTCGGCTGCTACAGCGCCCCCTGGCGGGCACCGCCACCCTGGAGGACCGCGAGCGAGGGGTGTGGCCCCGAGAATGGAGGCGTGGCTTCAGCAAAGGGGCGTGGGTTTAGCGAAGGGCGTGGTCAGAGCCCCCATTCATAAACCCGGGGGAGAGGGGGGCAGGACCCCCGCGATGGGCCCACAGGTGGGGCTGGGAGGGCTCCTGGGGTACAAGGGCACCCACAGGAATGGGAGGGGGCTCGGGTAGGGGGTCCCGGAGGCGCTGGGGGGGATCCACGGGCTTGGGGTGGGATCAGTGATGGGGCTGGGGGGGCACGGGATGGGGTCCCCGGTGATGGAGGGGGGTATCCATGGGTTTGTGGGAGCTTGGGATGGGGTCCCAATAAAACTGGGGGTATCCATGGGTTTGTGGGAGCTTGGGATGGGGTCCCAATAAAACTGGGGGTATCCATGGGTTTGTGGGGGCCTGGGATGGGGTCCCAATAAAACTGGGGGTATCCATGGGTTTGTGGGGGCTTGGGATGGGGTC